CATACAAACATCATCACTCACTCACTCACTGTCACTCACTCACTCTCACTCTCACTCACTCACTCACGTTTACCTGGGAGGAGTCTTTCTACAGATGATGAGAGAGGAAATGAGAAAAGACAGAAATCAAGACAATCAGAGAAAAGAGTCAACAATCATCCCTACATTTAATTTGAACACTCTACTTTTTCATATTGTTTCTACTTACTTAAGAATACTCTGAGGTCCACTATGGAAATAAAAGGTCAAGAAAAATATTGTTATAATATTTTATATTTATTTATTGATAATATGTTTATTAGAGATACTATTATTATTTGTGCAAATGAAAAAAGTGAAGTTTAATTCTGCATGCAAATGTAATTAAAAATGTGTCCCATAACTACTGAATATTTCTTCAATAAACTAACATTTGAATTGATTTAAAAAATACTTTATTAATCCCAACAGGGGGAAAAGTCTTTGTCACAGTAGCAACACTATTACCAATACATTAAAAGCTGATATTCACATAAAAAAATTAAAATAAAAAGATTTTATTATTAGATTAAATTCTTTTAGTAATCGGTGTTTAGTATTGAGATACTATTATAGTTTTTATTAATATTTAGATATTATTTTTATATTTTTGTTTTCAATTTTAATTTTAGTTAGTACTTTGTTGTTGTATTTTTATATTTTTTTGGTTTGTTTTTAATACGTCTATATAATTTCTATAAAAAAAATAAGTTTTAGTTTTATTTATTTTAGTACATCAAGTTCAACTAAATGAAAAAGAAATATTTCCTTGCTAACTAGCAAAAATATAAATAAATCCAAGCTTTTAATATTTTATTTTATTTCAGTTAATGTTTATTTTGTTTCAAGTAATATCTTGAATAATTGTTATATTTATATTTTCTGTTTTCATTTTAATTTTGGTTTATGTTTTAGTACTTTCAGTACTAAAGTTAGTACATTTGTTTTGTTTTTATAGTTTTTAGTAATTTTTATTTCAGTTTTAGTTTTATTTATTTTAGTACATCAAGTTAAACTAAATGAAACAGAAATGATTCCTTGCTAACTACCTGAACTAAAATAAGTTTAAGCTTTTTTCTATTTAATTTTATTTCAGTTAATGTTTATTTTATTTCATGTAACAAAAATGTTTTTTATGGTTTTAGGTAACTATAACAACCCTAAACGTTGCACAAAATGGAATTGCAAAAATATTCTAAAAATATCTGAAAACCCTTTCATTTCTTTTTTTTTCTTTAACTTAAATACTTTTTGAAAAAATATTTTTAACTTTTCAAACAGATTTTTTTTTGTTGAAACATTTTAATTCGTTTTATTTTAATAAGGCCACATTGCTGAGTGCATCATGAATCAGTTTTTGTTTGGACAATGTCAACTATCACCACTAGATGGCTCCACCATCCCCTGGTCATTCTGATAAACGGCTCTCTTGGAATCTCTCTCGTCCCTCTGCTCTGTGACAATAGGTGTGGGGGTAAATGTCACTGCTGCTATTTATACAGCTGACAGCCGGGAATAACCGCGAACACATGATGACTGACAGCAGCACATGCGGACATGATCAAAGCCCTCTGACACAATGGAAAGAGCTTTAGGAGCACAGGAGTCTGAGAAAGAGATGATGGTGAGTGTTCGCTGGGTTAGTGATGGTGACAGAACACAGACAGAACACTACAGCATCTAGTACACTAACTTTGTCATGGGCTCCTCCTGTAGAGAGAGAGACGGGAGGAGAGTGAGACATCTGAAGCGCTTCTGTTCACCATGCAGAAACTCACACACATGCACTTCTGACAGAAACCACGCAAACACACCGACGCAAGAGCACACAGTGAAGCTGAACAGACTTCACGTGTCTTCTCGCCTTAATAAACACATGACAGTAAACTAATACCAGTACTAATGAATACTAGTGTATGATAAACTAACTCGCCCTCTTCAAACTGTTGCTCCATCATGACAGCTGCTGATCTGATGACAGAGAAAACTGAACAGAGAAGAAAAACGTCCTTGAAGTAAATTGACTTGAGAAGCAAAATTGTAAAAGATAAGAATTTTCAGAAAATATAAATATATCTAGGATGAGCTGCTTTGCTGTATTGCTTATTTGCAAGCCACTCTGGATCAAATCATCTGCTAAAAAAAATAAATAATAATAATTATATATATATATATATATATATACACACACACACACAAACTATTTTTAAAGTCACTTTAAATAAATGCATCAGATAATGAATAAACATACAATAAAAATTACATCTATTTTTAAGTCACTTTAAACAAATAAAAATAAAATAAAAATACTACATCTATTTTTGTCACTGAATAAAAGCATCTGCTAAATAAATAAAATAAAAATTTATTTACATTTATTTTTAAGTCACTGAATAAAAAAAATAGCTAAATAAACAATAAAATAAAAATGTAAGTCATTTCAATAAAAGCATCTGGTAAATAATTAAAATAAAAGTGTAAAAAATTACATGTATTGTTAAGTCACTTTAAATAAAACAATCTGCTAAATTAAAAATAAATACATATTTTTATTACAAAATAGTCAATTAATACACACTGAAAACAAGTCTTATCTTAAACAATTTGCATCTTGTTTTAAGGATGCTTAAGTATTTATACTGGAAAATTAGACAAAAATAAAATACCATATTTTGCGTTCATGTGTTTGCGTAAGTTTCATGCTTCACACACGCATGCCTTGACTTCATCAGTGCAAACACACACACACACACACACACACACGTGCTTGGAAACAAACTCCCAGTGTTTTTGGATCCATCAAAGACGTCCATGAATGCAGCACACAGAACTACAGTTCTTTCCCTCATCAGCGAGTTAATGACGTTAATTTGAGTGAGAACATGAGTCAAAACTCACTCCAGCTGCTTCTCCCGGGATACTAATTGGTTGAGTCAGTAAAAGCAGCTGGAAACTCTCGCAGAGAATTTTACAAACATTCCTGCCGAGGCTGACGGCTGTACATAGTAAATGAGAAGCCGTGACCAGACGCCGGAAACACGGACATCACGTCTACATTCACTCACTATACACCTAACACAGGGCTTCATCATGAGCTGATGAAAAGCCAAGAATTAACTCATAAAAATGAAGAATTTAAATAAATCATTTTAAAATAAAAACAAATCAAAATCTAACACTTACTATAAAGCAATTACATCATAAAAATGTAAAATTCAAAATTTATTTTAAAAAATTTATTAAAATAATTGAAAATTAAAAATAAAACACTAAGTAAACAAAACATTCAAATTAAATAAATAAATTTAAAATAAAAACTAATAAAAATAAAACATTTACTATTAATTTGATCATAAAAATGTACAATTAAAATAATTTTACAATAATAATAAAACTAAGTAAATAGTTATTAAAATTAAATATTAAAATAAATTATACAATTTAGAAATAAAAAATAAAAATAAAACACTCAAGTAATTAAATCAAAAACATGAAATTAAAAAGAAATATATAAAATAAAAACAAATCACTAATAAGCAATTAAACCATACAAATGTTAAATTAAATTGTAAAAATAAAAATCAATCAAAATAAAACAATTACTAATAATTAAGTCATAAAATATGAAATTTAAAATAAACACACCACAACAGAAAATATTAAGCTACATTTTAAAGCTGCTTCCGTTCATTCAACAAAAGCAAAATTATTAAAAATATTATTTCAGTCTTTCTGCTTCAAAATTTCCTGTTTGATTCAGTATGTTACTTTGTTTCTTTGTAATTGTGAAATTTTCTAGCCATCTCTGAGTGAAAATTGTTTCTACACCAAAGTCACAGGCTTCGAAACAAAATAAAGGTTAAAATGATGTGATTTTGGGTGAACTACTGCTTTAAAAGAGAGGATCTCTGGATTTCTTCTGTCGACCTGTTCTTCCTCTTTTCCTGTTGACTTCACTATCACTGGAACCAGGAAGCTCATAATAATATATTATGAAGGACGTGGCCAAAACAAGCACGGATGCAGAGATGACATGAGCGACATGCGGCAGTATTTCAAATAAATATTTTGATTCGTTACAAATTCTCGAAGCCGATAAAAACTCAACGCATTATACATGTTGACATTCAACACGAAGCATCTAAAGCTGCGCAGAACGAGTGGCATGAGCTAGTTTCTCGTGTTTTGTTTATCCGAGTCTCAGCATGTGGGACACACGGTTTACGTGTTTATACTGGGATCAGTGAAACCACATGAGAGGGAACGCGCTCGCTCTCACAGATGACGACGGACTCATTAGCGCTTTACGAGCTTTCTGTGATCTGCAGTTGACTTCCATGTCAAAACTATAGTGAGTGAGTAAATAAAACCAGTCTATGAAAACAAGACCACATAGAGTGAAGACGGATTAAAAATGTGCTTTTAAATCTAGATTTTAAATTTAAATCTTAATAATAAATAAATCATAAATCGATGAATAATTAAATTAATAATAATAATAATACAAAACTATTTAAAATATCTAAAGTAAATACAACAAAAGACAATAATACATTTAATAATAACTTAATCTTTAAATCTAAATAATAAAAAATACAACAAACAGATGTACAATTTAATAATAATAATAATAAATCTCAAATAAATAAAATATAATTATGTAATAAGTTAATATTTAATTCTGAATAATACAAATAAAATAAATAATAAATCAATGAATAATAATAATATCTAACATATAACAAAAGTTAAAAATACATGTAATAAATTAACAGCAATTCAAAATAAATTTTTTTTTTAAATACTACAATGAATAATTAAATTATTATTATTATTATTATTATTATTATTATTATTATCAATAAAAATAATTAAAATATACTACATTTTTAAATAAATAAATAAACAAACAAAAAAGATAAATGTAATAATATAATAATAATTGAATATTTAATTCTAAATAAAAAATAAATAATAAATAATGGAAAATTAAATTAATAATAATATTAATAATAATGATATAAAAAACAATTAAAAATCTAAAATAAATATAGCAAAAGATAATAAATGTAACAATAAATAAATAAATAATATTTTTTAACAATGAAAACACTGATCCAGAAACGCACATGAACTAACTGAAGGACTAACAGCGCTGATTTTGTACAGATTCGTCACACTAGCTCATCTCACTGAATAAGTTGAGATGAGCTAGTGAACTAAGAACAGTTGTTTTGGAAAACCATCACTTTTCACATTGGCTCCCAATTGTCCCACACGCTTCCCCACAAGAGAGCTGCTCAAAGCATCCCGCAGACTGCGATTCCCTGACAACTGCAGAGGGAATATTCTGCTTTATTTACAACTTCAACTCTATGACATGCTCTCGGTTACCACAGAAAATAATTAAAACTAAAGGGGCGTGACGTAATTATCCATAAAGTACTGTTTATGTGAGCAAACTCAAACAAACAGCAATTACACATCAGCAACAGACGTCTAAAACAGTAGTCCCACATCAAAAGGACGTTTTAGACACAACTCAAATAACACATTTTACTGTATAATTCCTTTTTAAGTGCTTTAACCAAAACACAAGATTTATAATCCTGATTTTAATCACAGCTGGATCACATGCATGGATTCTATGTCCACGGTTTTCAAGCAAAAGATATTTATCAAATCTAATACATCAAATCAAGACTACGTAATTAATAACCAATAATGTGAGCTTGGGGCGGGGCTTACTTGTCTGTCGGACCAATAGAAGAATAGACCATTTATGACATTTCTAAATAATTCCTAGTGTCTGACTTTTGAACTAATAATATGCAGTATTTAATGTAGCAATGTTAGTTAATGTGCTTAAGTTAAATAAAATAAATACAAATAATAATTTTTAAATACTTAAAAAATTTAAATAATTGAAAGGTGTTAAAAAAGTAAAAGTTATATATATATATAAATAGATTATTATTACTACTACTACTTATAAGCTAAACACATGATTATAATTTTGAATAAAAAATTATTATTTACCTAATCATTTTAAAATAAATATTTCATAATAAATTAATAATTTTTCTCTGTCCCAGGGTCTTTATAGTTAACTAAACCTAAAACCATAAAAAACTTTAAAATAAATTATAATATAAAAAATAATTTGTATAAATATTCATTAAATAACATATTTAAAAAAAAAAAAAACTTATTTTATTTCAGCTAGGTGCAAAAAGGCAACATTTCTCTTTTACATTTAGTTTAACCTGATACTAAAATAAATAAAACTGAAATAAAAATTAATTTAAAATATGAAAAAAAAGTTTTGATTTCGCTATTTTCTGTTTTCATTATAGTTGATGTTGTAGTAATTGTGGTGTGTTTTTGTCATTTTTATTTAAATTTTTTTTAAACATATCTATATAGTTTATAACACTGCTCGGTCGCTCAATTTTTAAATTCCTCATTAGTTGAGATTATTTTCTGTGTTAATAGAAGTGTCACAAATACTGTTCACAGAGTAACCAAGAATATTCCTTTACCACGGCATTAAAGCCCTTTCTGAATAACAGATCAAAGCAAGCCCTCTGAGAACAGGGAGGAAGGAAGTAGAAGTATGAAGCACAGGAAGTAGATTCTGATTGGCCGGTCGGGACGCTCCACCTACCCGTTGTGCTGTTCCCCTGTGGCATTGCTCTCCAGCAGGCCGCGTCTCTGGCCCATGGCCACCTCGCACGCGTTCTCATTGGAGTAGAGGTTGATGGGCGTGTTATAGACGGACGGAAGAGGAGCAGCGGGGGCCGGGGGCGGAGCCGTCACTCTCGCCGGGGAGGAGGAGCCAGAGGAGGATGCGGAGGAGGAGTTAGCAAAGGGGGAGTGGCCAGAGGCGGGTTTGGGGGCGGACCTTGGAGAGGACAGCGCGCGGCTGGCGCCCAGCGGGAAGGGAGGCTGAGGAGACTGCTGGAATGGAGCAGCTGGGGTGAACGCAGAGGAGGCGGAGGGGATGGAGGCTTTGGGTGCGGCCGGGGACGGACTGACGGATCTGACGGTGCTAGCGGTCCCGCCGAAGGGCCGCGCCGTCTTATTGTAGGCGCTGCTGCCCGGGGCGAGGCTGGCGGGGCTGCTGATGGGCACGGGCTTTATGATCTCCAGCGGTTCCTCCTACAGGAAGTGATGAAACACATGCAACACATGCTCGCGTCACACAGCACACGCATGCAGGAGTCCCTCATTACAGCCCTAAAGCACGCTCACTTCACTCTTTCACATGTGGTTTAACGTACACAGTCTGTGGCCAAATAATTTGCATGACTAATTGATTACAGGATTCATTTTAATTCACATTATTATAAGGGTTATTATAGTTAACTAAAGCCATAAAAGAACATTTCCATTTCTTGAAATACAATAAACATTAACTGAAATAAAATTATAAAAACGTTAAACTTATTTTTTTTTAGCTAGTTCCCAATTTTCATTTAGTTTAACTTTATGTACTAAAATAATTAAAACTGAAATAAAAATTAAAATTATTATATTAAATAAAATAAATTATATTATTATATTATATTTCAAAAAAATAAAATTATATTGTAATAAAATTGAAAAATATATAAATAGACATATTTAAAAAACTAATAAATTAAAATGACTAAAACTTTCATATTAAAATGAAAACAGAAAATATAAAAATATAAAATATATGTGTCTATACTGTTAATTATATAGTGAATCTGTGTTATTTTAGATTAAATTATAGTTTTTATTGATGCTTTGAATGAGTTTTTTTATTTTTATATTTTCTGTTTTAATTTTTACATTCAATTTGTGTTTTTTCCTTTTTTTTTTTATACATGTTGTCATTTTTTGTTTTTGTCTAGTTTAATTTTTATTTTATCTATAGTTTTTCATTTTTATTTCAGTTTTAGTTACTTTAGTACATCCAGTTACACTAAATGAAAATGAAAACTAGCTGAAATAAAATAAGTTTAAGGTTTTTTAATATTTTATTTTAATTAATTTATGGTTTTCTTTTTATTTAACTATAATGAATGAGACAGTATAACTGAAATATTCTCCTACTACCGGACTGTAATGAGGGGAAGCAGATCTTCAGTGTCATGCAGTAGATCATGCAGCACACGCTCAGCATGCGTGTCCTAACCAGGTGTGATGCAAAGCCACAAATCTCACCAGCCATGACAAGTGCTGTGTGATGAGACATTTGATTGGTCGCCTCATTTATATTCTGTCATAATGCACCGGGAGGCCCCGCCCACAGTGAAATCTCATTGATACAGGCATTGCCGTATATTAAAAAATACTCTTATAGGCTGTGATTTTGTAATTTCAAACAGCATTTCGCTTCTTCTTTGACACTAAATGTCACATAGACACCTTTTCATTAGGGAAAGGTTATAAATGGTTTAAGCAAACCCATTCATATTCTGTCAGCTTATTTAATGTGCATATTTAATTTTGACATCAAAAATGGAGAACAACTTTTTTGTTGTCATCAGCTACATAATGCCTATATACCACTAAAAAGGGGTTTATAGTGAGATTTTTTTTTTTTGGGTAAAAATTTAGCACAAGCACACAAACTTTGCAATATATATACAAACATACAATATAATTGCAATATAATAGATCATTTGTTTGCATATGATGCTAATTATAAAGTACCCTAAGCCTAAAGGGAAAAAACAAAAACAAACAAAAAAAAAAAAAATGAATAAAAGAAAAAAAATATTTAAAAAGAATTAAATACATTTAATAAAATAAAAAATGACAACATAAAATAAAAACAACATAAAAAAGGGCTTAATCATGAGCTACTTTCTTTTGGTAATTATTAGCACTCTTGTTGTATATTTAAACACTTTTAAAATTCACATTTTACTGCCAAATTACCTGATACTATATCAGATACCTGGTTAGGACACTCATTACATATAATTATGTCGTTTGAAGTTTTCGTACCTTGGGGGTGTCCGTTTTAGTGACGCTGGAAGATCTGCAAAGACAGAACAGATGTTTAACATAAGACCTCATGATTGCAAAACAATGATCTGCTTAATGAATAAAAGTCAATATGTAAATAACAGCATAAGTTTGACTGAGAGAAGTCCAGATCCTGTGTGTGTGTGTGTGTGTGTGTGTGTGTGTGTGTGTGT